TTGTATGACGTCATTGAGAAGAACAAGAAAAACACGTTACGGTCCGGATATAGATAAATGCCAAATTAGAGGCGCCTGTGTCCTATGACTTGAAATACAGTCTCACATCCTGTAAAGATTGAAGCAATCGTAATTCTGCATTTTGTAACATTTTTATTCCACAAATTTTCCTTTTTTTAAAATGTCTGCCAAAACTGATTCCGAAAAAGGCATTGATTACTGTACTTGTGATGTGGCCGTCAAGTCAAGACATTATCAACGCTTTCAGTCAGAGGTGGTTATTGTGGGTTTAAATATCTAATCGACAAATCAGAATGAAGTATTTCCCCGATTCGCTGTAGAGCGTGTTTTGAAGCAGTCACAAATCACCATGTATCAAACAACAGTGCTCATTACACTAACACCAACCAGGACTCCATGCACCCCAATAGTTGGCTGGATTTGACTTCGGATCATTTGGTGGATCCTGGGCGGGTATTCCTCGTTTACTCCATTCTTCCAGTTTAACCTTCATCTCTTCCACAAGCTCAGGATATTTGGCCGACAGATCCAAGTGCTCTGTAGGATCGGAAGAGATATTAAAGAGCATGTACGGAGGGAATTCTATCTCGTCTTCCAGGACCAGTGGCTCTTGCCCTAACTTGGGCAGAGGTGTCCAGTCACTATAGTTGCCAGGGGATCCTTGAATGAACTTAAGGTGGTGACCATGGGGAATCGCTGATAAGGCCATTTCTTTTTCCGCTGTAATAATTATACACAAAAACAATCTCTTTTACTTGGACCTCCATTGAACAAGATGTCTGCCTGACCTACTCCATCTCTGTCAATAATATTCCCAACTGCAGCAGACCCGTGAAGATTCCGGGGTAGAATAGGTCTTCAGCAACCCATGCTTGCCGTAAAAGGTGACTATGCAAGTCGTAAAAGGCGACTAACGGGATTGGGTGGTCAGGCTCGCTGACTTGGTTGATACATGTCATCGATCCCAATTGCGTGGATCGATGCTCATGATATCAATCACTGGATTGTCTGGTCCAGACTCGATTATTTACAAACCGCCGTCATATAGCTTGAATATTGCTGAGTGCGGCGTTAAACAACAAACCAAACCAAACCAAAGTACCCGTGAAGATTCCGGGGTAGAATAGGTCTTCAGCAAACCATGCTTGCCGTAAAAGGCGACTAACGGGATCGGGTGGTCAGGCTCGCTGACTTGGTTGATGCATGTCATCGATCCAAATTGCGTGGATCGATGCTCATGATATCAATCACTGGATTGTCTGGTCCAGACTCGATTATTTACAGACCGCCGTCATATAGCTGGAATATTGCTGAGTGCGGCGTTTAACAACAAACCAACCAACCAACCCAACTGCAGCAAAGTAGGGTGCCAGTCCACCGCATGTATCATTCCAGCATTCAAATATACCTTCCTTTTAAATAGGTTCTTGCTGTAGATCAACGCCGTGCCCGTTTTTTACCCCTTCCAATATAGTGTTGTCATAGATATTGATTGGTTCGTGTCTTGTTTAACGCTTCACTGAGCAATACTCTGAGTACCCTCAACACAGAAATGCGTATCATGCACTGTCATAATTCATGTTCAGTTTATATTTGTACAGATTTGAACAATTTCTGTTTATTACATACTATTATTGCAGTGATGTCCCATCTGTCTCAATAATAATTAAATTGTGTTCATTGAACTTCCTGCATTCTAATTAGCTGAATTGGTCACATACAATGTTTGGCCCTCACTTTTTGCAGGTTCATACTCGGATGAACTCACACAAAGTGAAAGTCAATTCTTATAATTTTTTATCACAATTTCTTTCCTCAAAGGACGTAGGTCAGGATCTAAACACAATTTTATTTAGTACGTGTGACTTCATGTTTACACTGACAGCCAAACAACAACCAGGTATATCATATATTATATAATATCCCCATTAGATGAGAAAGGTCTGTAATGAACTACCTCAGTAAGTCAGTCACAATGACAGCGCGTCGTAATACATTTACATCAAGTACAAGACGTCAAAATGGCCGACACGATAAACGTGACGGGGGGATTTCCGAATTTGTTAATGAACCTGTGGCGGTTACATGTGTTAGTCATAATTGATCAACTGACCGATTATTGAAAGGTGATTAAAGATGCGTCAAACAGACACCAAGGTAAATTCGTTGATTGCTGGAGACGGTCAGTGACAGCCTAGACACAGATCGAGTCGATACTGACGATAGTTTGGATGTGCATTTTTTCGTTTGTTCATTAGGATGGGCCGTGAATTCGTGAACAATCATACAGTCAAGCTGTCTTACGTTTCTCAATGTATACTGAAATGCTGAGACCAAGATTAAAAGGTTCTAAATGATCAGAAATAATGCTTATGTATGTTTTCGTGCTAGGGAATTCCCAGGGGTTTCCCCAGGAATGTGGAAGTAGTCCGTCAGTGTTTACGTCATTTCAAGAACACGGTCTCGTGAAAAACGTATGAACGTCAAATTGTGTCGTTCATACACTTATGAACGTCAACTTCGCGGTCATGTGATCGACCTCTCGTCCAATGGAAAAGCCGTATATCGTGTAAACGTCAAATTAAAAGATTATTTCCAAATGAATGTAAAAGATTAAGCCACGCCCACCGAGGCGCACTACTTTTATTACTACGAAATGTCGGGGAATCCCAATATTACAGTCAAGGAAATTCCCTTTCTGTTCATGTGTATCGTCATGCACAGGACATTTCGCAACATTCATGCATATCCATTGTCCAAACTACCCTTTGAAACCGAAAGCCGAGAAGGAATGAAACAGCAAACGTGCAGGCTTGCTCGCCTGGTTTTTCCCCCCGCTCTTCTCGGTTCCACAACTTTCATGTCTTCGGGTTTCATTTCTAACCAGCGTTTTTCCAACTGTGTTTTCCCGGTATCAGGGAACTTATGTTCGAATCTGGTGGTAACTGACCATGTCATTTTAAACAGGCGCCTTCTCCCGGACATATTTTGGATGATGTAAAGCGAGCTGAGGTCCATGCAGGTAGCAAAAGTACTGTAAGTCCCAATGGACCCTAGCGTGGTGATCTACCTTCAGTTGTTGGCGATCTATAGCATGTTTTTATATTTTGTTGCAAAATGATAATACTTTTTTACATGCTCTCTAACTAGTTATATGTAAATCGGTGATATTCTAGTTATTATACTGCCCTTCGTCGGCAGAATTTTATACATTTTAAAATATATTGCCAATCTCAATTTTTTGTTCGTCACGATATGGCTGAAATATTGCTGACGTTAAACTTTAACTCACACACTCACTCACCCGGTCATATTTCTTTCGGTTCGTTACAGTCTGGCTGTTGCAGTTCTTCTCGCCTCTGGCCTTGATTGACGGGTCCAATGAACAAGGTTTTGATCCTGCTCTCCGTTGATTGGCTCCTGGCTGTGTAGGCGTGTCAAGTTACGTGCATAAATTAAACAATCACCTGATTCATGTCACGCCACAGTATGTATTCAAACACCTGGAATGTTTTCAATCTCGTCATTTTTATCTGTTTTGATATATACAACTGTTTTTGGTTTTACAAGTGTAGATAAAACATGTATTACGTTGTCAAATTTAATTTTAAGCATTGACTGTGTAATTTTTTCGGTTCATTGAGGTATGAATCGAAAAACCAATGTGCAAACTTTTATAAGAATCCGCGTAAACAGTCAATCCTTCATTGGATAGATGTATATTGTGTCAATCTAATTATGTTTTTTTGTTCGAAAGTAATCTATTAATATATCAAAAAGCAAATTCAATAATAAGTGTAGCCCACAATAAGTGAAACACCTTTTGAATGGATTTTTCAACATGTTTGAATGTAAATATATGTAACACCTGCCCTCGTATACAACATGAACGTCAAGGCAAAGCTTTATTGGATTTACTACTGTATGTACATTGTTCAACCCATTCATACATTACAAATATGCCTGCAGATATTTATTAAAACAAGAGCAACGTACCGAAACAATTCTTTCATTCATACGCACATGCAAAATATGATTATCATGATGTTTTATTGCCTGGCACATATATATCATCTCCAATTGATATTCCAGCGACCGATGCACTTGTAGTTTGGGGAGAAAAGTGAGCGAGTTAAGTTTGAGATTGATTTAATGTCACTTTGAAAGGTATTTAGTTATATCACGATGTGTCATGTTGATGTTGGATGAAAGTCGGAACAGAAGGTACATGTAGCAGCCGTTTACCACTTTGGTAAAACCAAAAAGCGCGGGAATGGTGCAGACAAACCTATGGCCATGATCAGAGCGAATCTCACATTTGAACCCAAGTTCTAGATTCCTGCCACGGCTAATGGGCAACGCCTTAATCGTCAATGCCCTTAGCCAGGACATGTTTCCATTCATGTTTGCATGGTTTTACCAAGTCAGCTTACCCACAGAAAAAAGCAAAAACGGACTAAATTTAACACATAATCAGCTAGGTCATTGATATGAATCACTAAGTACGCTAGCTAAAATAGGATTAAAGACATCGTTGCCATCAAATACTGTTACAGTCAGGTATGTAATATACATGTACGAGTACTGAAATCACCGACATGAAATACAAAGTCAGCTGATAATATAAAAAAATGACATTGCTGACATACCTCAAATACGTGAGTTGTATTAATTTATGAAACACATATAATTTCCTTGAAAACAAGTGTTGCTCTGACTATGCTATTTAATACATTATACATGCTTATGTGACCGGCAAAAGAGTGTTTAACACAACTACTTTGCCTATGATATGTGCGCACACAAAGAAAGGCACTTTGCATGACGTCACTAGGAGGAAATCAATATGATGTCAGAGTCGGAATATAGAAGAGCGCCAAACCTGAGGTTCCTGTATCCCATAACTTGGAATACACTCTCACATACTATTGAGAAAGTAGCAATCATAACTCTGGATTTTGTAATTTATAATTCCACATATTCTCTTTATTTCAAGCAGTCTATACATATTAACATCCACGGTGATGTGACCGTCAAGTCATTATCAGCGCTTTCAATCAGAGGTGTTTTTTTGTGGTTTTAAATATCTCTTTAACAAATCAGAATCAAACATTTCCCTGATTCACTGAAAAGCATGTTTTGAAGCCGTCACAAATCACCATGTATCAAACAACAGTGCCCATTTCACTAACACCAACCAGGACTCCATACACCCCCATAGTTGGCTGGATTTGACTTCGGATCTTTTGGTGGATTCTGGGCGGGTATTCCTCGTTTCCTCCATTCTTCCAGTTTAACCTTCATCTCATCCACAAGCTCAGGGTATTTGGCCGACAGATCAAAGTGCTCTGTAGGATCGGAAGTGATATTGAAGAGCATGTACGGTGGGAATTCTATCTCGTCTTCCAAGACCAGTGGCTCTTGCCCTAACTTGGGCAGAGGTGTCCAGTCACTGTAGTTGCCAGGGGATCCTTGAATCAACTTTAGGTGACCATAGCGAATCGCCGCTGAACCATTTCTTTTTCCGCTGTAATAATTATACACAAAACCATCCCTTTTACTTGGACCTCCATTCAACAACATGTCTGCCTGACCCACTCCATCTCTGTCAATAATATTCCCAAGATCTCCTCCAGCAATCTGCAGCAAGGTAGGGTACCAGTCCACCGCATGCATCATCCCAGTGTTCAAATATCCCTTCTTTGTAAGTAGGTTCTTGCTGTAGATGAATGCTGTGCCCTTTGTGCCCCCTTCCCATAGTGTTGTCTTAGCACCACGTAGTGGTAGATTATTGGCCGCAACGTAGGTTGGACCCCCGTTATCTGTAGTAAACACCATGAGCAGGTTCTCCATCAAGCCAGTCTCAACTAAAGCATCCGTGATGTTGCCAACAGCCTCATCCAAAGCATTTACCATCCCACAATACATTCTCCGGTCGCGATGTGGAATGTGACTGCATATATTCTCATACCTCTTTGGAACCTGCAAAGGCGTGTGAACAGACTGGAAAGGCAGATAGAGGAATAAAGATTGGGATCTGTCATGCGAACGAATGATGTCAACAGCTCTACCTGCAAAAACATTGGCAGAGTAATCACCATCATAAAACTTAAGCGGTTTCTTGTCCATTCGGAAATCCAGGCCAGTGTAATTAGACGAGGTATGTCTAATGTGACTGTAATAATCTTCAGCTCCTGAAAAGTACCCTAGAAATGATTGAAAACCTCTGTACGTTGGTGTATAGCTCCAGTTACAATACCCCAGGTGCCACTTACCAACTATGTGACTCACGTATCCAAGCTGGTTCAGCGCTTCGGGAAGTGTAGTGAAATTTAGGGGCAAGAACTTCGGCTGTTCAACATTAATAACGCCATCTTGGAGTCCGGTCCTGTAGGGGAAGTATCCGGTCATGAAACAGCTCCTGGAGGGAGAACAGACAGGCTGGACATAGGAAGAGTTCAGGATGACACCCTCATGGGCAAGACGGTCCAGGTTCGGTGTTCTCATCTGTGGATTCCGGAACCCGACATCATTCCAGCCCAAATCATCTGCAACTACAAATATTATATTTGGTGGTGATGCTTCTTTTGGGCTAGAGTTAACTGTTGAGAGACATGCATAGGAAAAGAGCAACAATAAGCAGCGTTTTGCCATGTTCCTCACGCGAAGTATGTCCTCCAAATGCCCTTTAAGCTACATGTTGTAGAATGATATTGATTGGTTCGTGTCTTGTTTAACGCTTCACTGAGCAATAATCTGAGTGTCCATTACACAGAAATGCGTATTATGTACTGTCATAATTTATGTTCAATATATATTTGTACAGATTTGACCAATTTCTGTTTATTAAATATTATTATTACATTGATGTCTCATCTGTCTCAATATTGGATAGGTGTATATTGTGTCAATTTAATTATGTTTTGCTTTGTAGACACAAAGCATGTATATATTTGTTGTACGATCATTTAGCGCTGGTCGATCAGTATCTATGCAGCAGGGAGTATGTATGTTTAGTTAGATCTCAAACAGATAATCTGGCTTTACAGTTATGTTCGCAGAATAATATTGTAATTATCATTGCCACTTCATACCCAGTCCTTTTTTCAGATAAACATTATCTCTACGACATAATCTCTCATGGGAGTTGATATAGCATAATATCGTCAAAGGATTGGGACATTTCATCTGAAGGTACTCAGTAATGCTAAATATGGATTGGATGGCTTTTCTTATATTCTTACTTTGTTATGCTGTATTTTTGGCATCAGAGGCATCCAGTTAGCGTTACTATTATTATTATGTTGTGGAGTTATTCATCCCCATCCAGGCCCTGAGTATTCAGATTTAAGTATTGTTCATATCAATGTCTGTAACCTACAAGGTAAAATCGATTTAATCAATGCCGAACTTCACGATTATGATATTGTATGTATTTCCGTAACATGGCTGCATAGTGGCATTAGAGACGAGGACATTCCACTACCTGGTTACCATCTGCCTCTACGTAAGGGCCGCCCCACTAGATTTGGTTGGTTTGTTGTTTAACGCAGCACTCAGCAATATTCCAGCTATATGACGGCGGTCTGTAATTAATCGAATCTAGACCAGACAATCCAGTGATTAATATCATGAGCATTGATCCATGCAATTTGGATCGATGGCATGCATCAACCAAGTCAGCGAGCCTGACCACCCGATCCCGTTAGTCGCCTTTTCCGACAAGCATAGTGGCCTTTTACGGCAAGCATGCCATTGGGTTGCTGAAGATCTATTCTACCCCGGATCTTCACGGGTCCGCCCCACTAGAGGAGGCGGAGTTGCAGTATACGTTAGGGATACTTTACACTTATTGCGCAGGACTGACTTGCCACGTCATGAAGCGGTTTGGGTTCAGATTACATCACGTAACCAAAAATTGTTAATTGGTACGTTTTATAGAGCTTCCTTCGACCTACATTATTGGGACCTGACTGACCAGTCGGTCTCTCTAGCTGTCGATGATAATATTTAAATAGTTGCCATTGGAGACTTTAATGTCAACTTACTCAGTGATACTGACATACATACAAATTATTAAGGATCCAACAAGGATAACGAGTACGTCTTCTGCACTTATTGACCTTATATTTGTCTCATGTCCAGACTTGGTCAGCATGTCAGGAGTTAATCCCCCTTTTGCATTGATCATTGCTCAATATTTGTTAATTTAAAATATCAAAAGATGAAAAGTAGATCCTTCATGAGAACTATCTATGATTAAAATGGAATTAATAAATAACAATTGATAGAATTTAGCAATAATATAGATTGGGAATCCTTGTTTGCTGCTGATGATATAAATGTTATTACCGAAAATGTTACTAATACAGTTAAGACAATATTTAAACAGTGTATACCAAACAAGGTTTACGAATATGCACCCTGGATGAACGGACATATTCGAAAATTGATGAGGAAGCGGAATAGGATTTAACAAGAAGCCAAAACGTAAAAATGTAGCAGGTCACTGGGAGCAGTTCAGAACGCGTAATTTAGTCATCTCTGAAATTCGAAAATGCAAATCTGAATTTAATTCCAAAATTGACGATATTGTAGATACTACACAAGGGTAAGAACACTTGGTGGCGGCTAATTAAAGACTATCTTCAAACGTCAAGAAAACGTAGTCGCCAGTCCCCCCCCCCCCCCCATGAGGACGATATTGATAAAGCAAATGTTCTTAATGGTTATTTCGTAGAACAAGCCTCAGTTCCAGATGTTTATCTGAGAAAGAAATAGAGGATGTATTGTTGTCATTTGACGTATCGAAATCTACTGGTCCTTATATGATAAATAATCGTCTATTAAAGACATTGACTATTGTTTTATCGAAACCACTTGTAAAGTTATATAATTTATCCCTGTCCTAACATATCCTTCCTATGCCTTGGAAACAGTCGTCAGTAATCCCAATTTATCAGAAAAGTGACATCCATGTTTGTTGTAACTACAGACCGATCGCGCACACGAGTTGGCTATCGAAAGTATTTGAAAAGTGTGTCCTAAAACATGTGCACAACCATTTCTTGGATAATCAAGTTATTTCTTGTTTGCAATCAGGGTTTACCGCCGGCGACTCAACTGCTTACCAACTGACCAATCTTTATGATTTCAAAGGTAATGCCTTAGATGATGGAAAGGAAGTAATGGCAATAATCTGTGACATTATTAAAGCTTTCGATCGTGTTTGGCACAAAGGTTTGTTACATAAATTAAGCAAGTGCGGGATAAAAGGGACTCTCTTATAATGGTTCCAAAGTTACTTAACGGGTAGAAAGCAACATACAGTTATTAATGGACACAAATCGAATGTTAAACCTGTACTTGCTGGTGTTCCTCAAGGTTCAGTGTTAGGGCCCTTATTATTTTTAGTATTCATTAATGATATCGTCTGTGACATTAAATGTAATGTAAAATTGTTTGCTGACGATGCTTCGCTATATGTCATAATTGATGATCCATTATCAACACGTATTTCAATTAATTGTGATTTGGAACGAATGTCTCAATGGGCTAAAACTTTAATCCCGATAAAACAGAAGCAATTCAATTTTCAAGAAAACGTAACGTCACTGTCCTGCCTGATCTGTTCATGAATGATGTAAAAATAAAGAATGTTAATAGCCACAAACATCTCGGGCTAAGTTAACAAAGTGATGAGCATTGTAATAGACATACTGAAAATCTAACTGCCAAGGTTAGCCCATTGATAAATTGCTTTCGTAATCTGAAATATCGTTTGAACAGACACAGTCTACATACGTTCTATTGTTCATTCATATAACCCTTGTTTGATAACAGTGACCATATATGAAATAAATGAACAAAGGGTCAAGAATTGTCCCTGGAAATGTTACATCTAGATGCACTTAGGACAATATGTGGTGCCGTGAGGGGCACAAGTCATACGAAATAATATAACGAAACCGGACTATCCTCCTTGGCTGAGAGACGACACTTTCACAAATTATGCATTTTTATAAAATGAAAAGTGGGACAGCGCCAAATTATTTATGTGATATGGTACCTGTAGAAACCTTGGATCGCCCACATTATGAAACACGTAACACAAACGAATACTATGAGCCTAATTACCTTCCACAGTCTCCGCCTGGAATGTACTAGATTCTACTTTGAGAGACGCTGCTTCATTATCTCAGTTCAAAAAAACTGTATAAGTGTATTAAATCAGAAGTGCCTGACATATTTAAGACTACTGGTTCACGCGTAAATCAGATAATCCACTGTAAGTTAAGACTAAATGTAGTGATCTGAACGGTCACAAATTTGAAAGATTTATTAGCGATAATGCTGAATGTTCATGGGGTTTTTTCAACGAAAGTGCTTTACACTACCTATTTACTTGCCAAAATTATACTTAGATTAGATCTGAAAGCTATTATTATGTTAATGGATATGACCTACGAACCGTCCTGTTTGGTAACGTCAGCCAAGACGAAGAAATACTGCTGAATATCGTTGACTCTGTACATCATTTCTTCTCTATGAGCAAAAGATTTGTCTAAACATGCACTCTTATATAAATCTCACTAAAAACTGTTTACCCTTGATGTACCACATATGACTTAATGCCAAGTCTATACTGTACTGTATAATTATACTACTGCTGCTTGTTCGGATTTTGTCGGAGAAATATATGTATCTAGCTAGGCTCTGCCTGTTTATCAATCCCCTTTCACTGTACCAAGTGGAAATAAATATTGTTTAAAAAAAATGCAGGACTGTGAAGTTGACGTAACACCTAAAAGTTGATGATGATAATATATGAATGTTAATGCATCAAGCGCTGCGTGTGAAGATAAATTTATATACATTTGACACATTAACATATTGCAACACCTATTTTTACG